AAAACAGGCTTGAGAGTCCAGAAATGAATCCATGAATATGGTAAATTGATTTTCAGCAAGGATGCCAAGACAATTCAAAATAGTCTTTTCAACAAATTATGCTAGAACAATTGGATATCCACATGCAAAAGAATGAGGTTAGATCACACATAAACTATACAGAAAAAAGCAAAAAAAAAAAAAAAATGACTCAGAGACGTAAATGTCAGAGCTAAAACTACACAACTCTTAGAAGAAAACATTCAGTATATTTTTGCAATGTTGGCTTAGACAATGGTTTCTTAGGTAAAACCCCAATAGCATAAGTGACAAAAAGGAAAACAATTGGGTTTCATCCAATGAAAAGTGTTTTTTGCTGCAAATGATACCATCAAGAAAGTATACGGATAACCTACAGAATGGGGGAAATACTTCCAAATTAAGTATCTCATAAGGGATTTCTATCTAGAATAAAGAACTTTTACAACTCAGTAATACAAAATAACTCAGTTAAAAAATGAGCATAAAATCTAAATAGGTATTCCTCCAAATCAGATACACAAATTGCCACTGAATACATAAAAGATATTTAACATCATTAGTCATTAGGGAAATGCAAATGAAAGCCACAATGAGATGCCACTTCTTACTAGGATGGCTAAAATAAAAAAGTCAGATAACAATGAAGATGTGGGGTCCGAATACATTCCTGGTGGAAATGTAAAGTTGTACAGCCATATGGGAAAACAGTTTGACCATTCTTCAAAAAGTTAAACATTGAGCTGCCATATGACCCAGCAATCCCACTCCTAGATGTATCCTCAAGAGAAGTGAAAACATGTATTTCCACAGCATCTTACAAGTGAATGTACATAGTAGTGATATTCCTAATAGCCAATAAGTGGAAACAATCCAAATATCCATCAACAGTGAAGGGATAAACAAAGTGTGGTATATTCATATAATGGAATATTATTTTCCTATTGAAACTAAGTACTGATATTTGCCGCAACATGGATGAACCTTGCAAACGTTATGCCAAGTGATAGAAGCCCGTCACGTAAGACTATCTATTGTATGGTTCCATTTAGTACATAAAATGTTCAAAATAGGCAAATCTATATGACAGTTGATTAATGGTGCTTGGGGGATGACAGTATAGGTGGGTAGAGGGTGGCTAGTGATTGCTAATTTTTTTTTTTAAGTTATGAAAGTGCTATAAAATTAGAATGTAGTTATGATTGTACAGTTCTGTTTACTAAAACAATTAGGTTGTACTGTTCACACAGGTAAATTTTATGGTATATGAATTAAGTTTCAGTAAAGTTCTCTATTTTATGTTTATTATAGAAAAGTCAGAAAATATTTAAAAAAAATAAAAAGGATAAAAGAAGAAAGTAATCCTGATTATGTACCTAGAAATCTTTTTGGGGAGGATGGGGTATGAACCACACATATAAAATTTAGTTTCCTGCTTTTTCAATTAAATTGAGAAAGTTTGGGAATCTCTGGCTTAATTATTTATCTGCTCTTCTGTTGCTGGATATTAGGTTCCTTCTAGTTCATGTAGAATTTTATAATTTTAGTTGATGTATTATGCATTCTTGTGCAAAAACTTTTATATGAATTTTGAAGTTTCTTTTTTAGGAAAGAATCTTGAAAGCTATTATTATTGTTTTTTTGAGACGGAGTTTTGCTCTTGTTGCTCAAGCTGGAGTGTAGTGGTGCGATCTTGGATCACCGCAACCTCCGCCTTCCGCGTTCAGGGGATTCTCCTGCTTCAGCCTCCTAAGTAGCTGGGATTACAGCCATGCGCCACCATGCCCAGTTACCTATATTAGTTTTCTAAAACTATTATAACAAATTAGCATAGATCAAGTGGCTTGAAACAACAGAATTTTAATCTCTTAGAGTTTTAGAGACCAAATATCTGAAATCAAGTGGTCTGCAGCGTTGGCTCCTTCTGAAGGCTCCACGGAGCATCTGTTCCATGCCTTCCTCCTGGCTTCTAGTAACTGCCAGTGGTCCTTGGAATTTCTTGGTTTCTATATAGGTCACTCTAATCTCTTGTCTCTCTCTTTCCATCTCCTTCTGTGTGGGTGTTCCTTCTCCCCTTCTCCTCTTTTGTAAGGATAGTTCTGTCACTGGATTTAAGGCCCACTGTAATCCAGGATGACCTCATTTCAAGATGTGCGACTTAATCACACCTGCAAAGAGCCTTTTTCCAAATAAGGTCACGTTAGCAGATTCCTACCATTCCAGCCACTGTAGAAGCAGTGGAGTGGGAGGTACCATTCAACTCACCGATTCCTGCCATTGAACCCACTGTAGGAGTGACTTCTCAAAAGGATGGGAGGTCGCTGTAGGAATGGTCTACCCCAGATGCCGGCAGAATGGGGAAGCATTTCATATAGAATGGAAAAATAACAGTAAAGCTGGCTAAATGTTGATCTGCTTTTTACGGTCATCACGTGTTGGCAATTCTAAACATTATCAATGATAAAATACTTTTCCCTAATGGTATTAACTACACCATTTCTACTGTCCCTGCTACATACATGCTTTCCTGCTTGGAAACAGGATTACTTGGTGAAGTAGTATGAATCTTTGAATTCTCATGATATATATTTTCATTATTAAGGGTGCCAACTTTATACAAGATAATACAAATGTAATAGTATGAATAAATACGCTGATTTGATAGAAAATAGTTTAATGTTTACTACTAGTGTAGTTGGATATATTAAGTATTGCACTGGTTACCTGTAATCCAGTTTTAGAAAATTTCTACTGTCTGTCACTATTTCTGTTAGACTCTTAGAATGTGTGTTTCTCTCATTGATTTGTAACAACTCTTTATATAGTAAGAATATAAGGCCTCTGTAGGACTGCTGATATTTGTCACTCTTTTGTTTTACTTTTTTAGAGAACAAAATATTTTAATTTCTATAAAGATTTTTGTTTCCTTTCATTGCATGCCAACATTTGTATTTTTAAAAGCTTGAAACTTCTAGGCTGTGATGTGAAAAGTGTCTTTTGTTTTTTTAAATTTGGAGACATAGTCTGGCTCTGATGCATGCACTCGTGTGATCATAGCTCCCATGCAGCCTCAAACTGCTGGCTCGAGTCACCCTCCTGTCTCAGCCTCCCACCTAGCTAGGACTGCAGGAGACACCACTACACCTGGCTAACTTGTTGTTGTTGTTGAGATGGGGTCTTGCCATGTTGCTCAGGCTGGTCTTGAATACTGGGCTCAAGTGATCATCCTGCCTCAGCCTCCCAAAGTGCTGGAATTACAGAGGTGAGCCACTGTGCCCAGCCTCTTAATTTTATATACCCTTCATAACTGTTCCATCTCTCTCTGTCTCTCGCTATCTCTGTTTTTGTGTGTCTGTGTCTGATCATAAAATATATTAAATTTTATTTTATATCGTAAGTATTTTACAAGGTGAGTAGATTTATGATTTTAATGGCTGCATAGTGTTCTGTCATAAGGATATACTCTACGTCATGTAATAATTTCTCAATTGTATATTTAGTTTACTTCTAATTTACTGCTTTATTTTATCACAAACACTGTGGATAGCCTTGAATATACTTTGTTGTACAATTCTTATTAGTACGTTAGGATGATTTTTTTCACAAATACAATTACTTTCTGAGAATTAAGGTTTTTGATTTGAATGAAAGGCTTACTTTTATAGTTAACAATTTGATTATGTTTGTGAGGTCTAGGCCTGGGGGATTGCTTGAGCCCAGGAATTCAAAACCGACCTGGGCAACATGGGGAGAGCCTGTCAGCCAGGCATGATGGTGTGCCCCTATAGTCCCAGTTAATTGGGAGGCTAAGGAGGGAGGATCGTCTGAACCTGGGAGTTTGAGGCTGCAGGGAGTTATGACTATACCACTGGATTCCGGCCTGGATGACAGAGCAAGGTCTTATCCAAAAATAAAAAAAATAAATAAATATATACAGAATGAGAGGGAATATTATAACAGGCTTCCACTTACCTATCCCAAGGCTTCCTTATAAAATGTTCATTTTATCTGATTTCTACAACGAATTCTATATCATTAAACAATATGTGCCCCTCCATTTAGACAGAACATTTCCTACTTGCTGCGTTTGCTTAGCACGTACCAAGTGCTGGGTCTTGTTTCAGTGTTGTTTTTTTTTTTTTTTTATTTTTTTTTTAAAGACAGAGTCTTGCTGTGTTGCCCCAGCTGGAGTGCAGTGGCACGATCTCGGCTCACTGCAGCCTCTGCCTCTGGGGTTCAAGCGATTCTCCAGCCTCAGCCTCCTGAATAGCTGGGATTACAGGCATACACCACCACGCCCAGCTAATTTTTGTGTGTTTTAGTAGAGATGGGGTTTCACTATGTCAGTCAGGCTGGTCTCGAACTCCTGACCTCAAATGATCCACCTGCCTCTGCTTCCCAAAATGCTGGGTTTACAGGTGTAAGCCACAGCACCTGGCCCTTTGTCAGCCTTTTTCACAGCCTGATTTCTCCTTTGTTACTCGTAGCTATTTTAAGGGCTATTTTGATTTACAGACAAAGAAGGCGAGACTTGGATGAATGAAAGAAGAGTTAATCAGGTGGTTGAACGTGAGCTCCAACTAGGGTGACATCTCTTCCTGGATTGCCTGCCACTGTCCTGGTTTTCACATGGAAAGTACTATATCCTAAGAAGCCTCTCATCCCCAGCAACCGAGTACACTTGCTCACTCAAAGCCATGTGACATTGTAGGGTATCCCTTTTCCAAATGGTTGGAATCTTGAACATGGAGAAAGAATTCATCATTCCAGGCCGGGAGCCGTGGCTGACACCTGTAATCCCAGCACTCTGGAAGGCCGAGGTGGGCAGATCACCTGAGGTCAGGAGTTCAGGACTACACTGGCCAACATGGTGAAACCCTGTCTCAAAAAAAAAGAAAAGAATTGGTCGTTCCTGAAGGAGCATCGATTGTCCTTGGTGGTAGTGTTTTTGACCACATAACATGGAATGTTTTATTTTTCAGGCCCCTCCATGTGCTTGTGTGCAATGCAGCAGCTTTTGCTCTCAGCTGGAGTCTCACAAAAGACGGCCTGGAGACCATCTTCCAGGTGAATCATCTGGGTCACTTCTACCTCGTCCAGCTCCTGCAGGATGTCCTGTGCCGCTCAGCTCCTGCCCGTGTCATTGTGGTCTCCTCAGAGTCCCATCGGTGGGTTCGAATCACCTATTTTTTCACTTCTCCCCTTTCTCGTACCAGCTAATAGCCCCCCCAGGCTCTCCTTCTGAAAATAATTTTCATTAGTCCTACTCTGAGACGTGTGGCTGGACTCCACCTGGCTGGCTTAATTTTTCCGGGTCCTCTTTTGTGTGTCTGTTTGCTTGTGGGGGACTGCTTCTACAACTATACTTCAAGCTCCTCATTGATTTTGCTTAGAGATGGAATAATAATTGATGAAATCTGAATGGCGCGACCTTTATTGATTTGTAATTCAACAACTTCAACATCTTACCAAGAAGAATGCGCAGTTATTCTAGCAGGAGAAACAATGCAATTAAAGCCTGCGAGATGAAATCCAATTGTTTTATAATGAGAAATTAGGGAATTCAATGCCGACATTAGCTGTGTAATTGTAGAAAGGGAAGTACTGTAGTTAGAGCATATTAGAAATCTGGCCATGCCTCTTTTGGTTAAAATTTCAATTAAAACATCAGATGGCACTTTTTTCCTATTACCATTAGGACAATATTCAATTGACTGAAAAAGGCATTGGAAAATTTCATCGTATTTTCAGCATATTTCTTTCTAGAGTTGGATAAACAACTATTTGTCTAAAGAGAAATATTCTGAAAAGACAAAGGATTTGCTGGGTGAGGCTAGATTTAATCCGTGTTAGGGAGATTTCTCGCTCACATTTTCTTGGTGTGTGTTTTGGGGGGTGGTGCTTGCCCTCTTAGCAGAGTAGCTAGGAAAAAAACTGTGTAAGGGGCCTATTTTTTTCCTCCTTCTTTTCCGTCTTAAGTCCTGAAATGTTTTAGTGACCCAGAATGAAGCTTATTTTTTTAATCATACTTCCATAAAATGTAACCCCTGGGACTTGGAAGAGAGAGACCAGCCAAGGGTTAGCTTGAACCCTTTATCACTCCCAAACACAGGGGCTTATGGTATATAAGTGACACACTGCAGATAGATTTCCTTGTGCCATTTTAAATTTATGACGGTTGAAATGAAAGGAAAATGCCAGTAATAATCCTCCCCCGTGTTAAAAGACATGAAACATCTAGTAATTAGGTGGTAACAAAATCTGGACAGCCTTATCTTTGCAAATCATACCAGATTTGTGAAGAAAACGTGGAATGGCCCTGTTAAGGGGCGAGGGAGGCTGCTGCGGGGGTAGGCAGCGGAGAGAGCTCCAGAAATAAATCAGCCAGCCCCAGTCATCCACCAGATGTGGAGGGCACCACGGGATATGTTTAAATGAGCTGGTATTTAACGGGAGATTATGTGGAGTTGTCAGCTGCTCACTCTGCTTTGTAAATCTGTATCTCAAATGGTATTTCGTGTGACGTCTTTGTTCTCTCCTTAACTACAGTGTAATTCATGCCTATCCTGGAGATCCGAATCTTAGTTTCATTTAAAAGATTAATTTGAAAAGATGGGTCTTGGGCTCTTGAGTTAGATCTGTGTTTGTTTATAGGGAGGACTTCCTGAAATGTGTTGTCAGGATTATTCCTGCTTGATGGCTGGCACTGGTTTTCTGCTTTCCAGTTATTCTTTGCACATTATTATTATTATTATTTTGAGGTAGAATCTTGCTCTTTCTCCAGCCTGGATTGCAGTGGTGCGATCTCGGATCACTGTAACCTTTGCCCCCTGGTTCGAGCAATTCTCCTGCCTCAGCCTCCTGAGTAGCTGGGACTACAAACGCTTGCCATCACGCCCAGCTGATTTTTGTATTTTTAGTAGAGACAAGGTTTCACCATGTTGGCCAGGATGATCTCCGTCTCCTGACCTTATGATCCACTCACCTCGGCATCTCAAAGTGCTGGGATTACAGGCGTGAGCCACCACACCTGACCCGTTTGCACTTTATTTAAGGATGTTTTAACAGAATGGGAATTCCCCAAGGCTGGCTTGTATATTACCTTTGCATTGCATCCCTTGGTTCCTGTGAGTGAGCATGCTGACTTGGTGCAGAGGCATTATGTGAAACATTTGCTCACTACCAAAGAACCCAGGGCCCTAAACCATTTTGTAAAATGTAAGTGTTGATATCTAATTACCTCCATAAAGCTTGGCAGAATCTCTTCGTTGGAGTCAAGACCCCCTGTTAGGGGAAAAAATAAACTCATATGTTTGCAGAAAATATTAGACTAGATTGCCCCAAGGCAAAATATTTATTAGCCTTCCTGTGTCTTCACTGAGTTTTAGTTACTTATCTGGAATCTAAGCAAGTGAATGGAGTTTCTGCATACCTAAAATACATGATAGTGAAATGAGAAGTTGATTTCCTTGCTGTGAAAACATTTCAGATAACAATTAAGGTAGAAAGCAAAGATCAGAGTGTTGTTTGAACAACCCTTAAAGGCTAGAGCTGGATTGAGTGCCAAATAGCCCTCCCCTCCACAAAATCACACCATCTCCCACACACAGACACACACAGGCACATACATACACACACACACACACACACACACACACACACAGTTTCTGAGACTTTGTTTAGATAGAATGCAGCCTAATTAATTTAGGTGGGAGTTTTTAAAAATCCTCAATAAAATTGGGCTTGGTGGCACATGACTATAATCCCAGCTATGAAGAGCGTGAGGTGGGAGAATGGCTTGAGCCCAGGAGTTTCAGGTTGCGGGAAGCTTTGATCATGCCACTGCACTCCAGCCTGGGTGACAGAGTGAGACCATGTCTCTAAAATAAATTTTAAAAATTATCAGTTAGAAAAATGCATTATAGGCCAGGCACGGTGGCTCACGCCTATAATCTCAGTACTTTGGGAAGCCGAGGTGGGCTGATGGCTTGAACTCAGGTGTTCGAGATCAGCCTGACCAGCATGACAAAACCGCCTGACTACTAAAACTACAAAAATCAGCCAGGTGTGGTGGTACACGCCTGTAATCCCCGCTATTTGGGAGGCTGAGGAGGGAGAATTGTTTTAACCTGGGAGACGGAGACTACAGTGAGCAGACACTGTAGCAATGTGCTCCAGCCTGGGTGACAGAGCAAAACCCTGTCTCAAAAAACCAAAACCCCAGAAAGCACAACCCGCACAGTATATATACAAGTACAAGATGATGGGGGTCCCCCTGCAAAGCAAGTGTTAATGTCCACTAACTGAGCAGAAGTTAAACTAGTAAGGGAGAAATCTATTAAGACATAATTGTTTGGCTTTGTCAGTTTTTCAACTTGAAAATAGAGTCGGCAGCCTCTGAAGAGCTGTCTTACTCCCTCTGAAACTGAGAGGTGAACACAGTGGTTTTTCAGGAAGCCTTCCTTGGCTCAGAGAGAGCAGAAGCTAGCCCACCATTGCCACTTCCTGGAGGGCTGTCACTGCTAGCTAATCAGACAGTCGAAGTGGAGCTTCTGCCCAGGAGACAGTGGGAAGGAAGTGTGGGGTTAGCCTTACGGCAAAGGGCTGTTTGCAGGGGGAGTGCCTGATGTGTAGCAGCTGGTACTTTTCCATCTTGGAACTGCCCTTCATCCTGGTTCTAATTTCTCATCGTGGGATTTTTTTTTTTTTTTGGTCTTGTTTCTAGATTAGAGATCAGGAAGAAAATACTTTTTCTTGTTAGAAGTTTAATTTGATCAGTGTTCCCTATTCATGAGTTACTTCTGTGTTATCCTTGAAAAGCTAAACAGAGGGCCAGGCCCCGTGGCTCACGCCTGAAGTCCCAGCACTTTGGGAGGCCGAGGCGGGGCGGATCATGAGGTCAGGAGATCAAGGCCATCCTGGCTAACATGGTGAAACCCCATCGGTACTAAAAATCTAAAAATTTGCCGGGCATGGTAGCACGCACCTGTAATCCCAGCTACTCTGGAGGCTGAGGCAGGGAGGTCGCTTGAACTGGAGAGGTGGAGGTTGCAGTGAGCTGAGATTGTGTCCACTGCACATAGGTGACAGAGAGAGACTCCGTAAAAAAAAAGCAGGGAACTTACTCCAAACTGTAGAAAATAACTGTATATGATGGTGCGTACCTGTAATAGCAGCTACTCAGGAAGCTGAGGCAGGAACTGAGAATCAGCATGGGCAGCAAAACAAGACCTTGTCTCTAAAACAAAAAATAGGTCACCAAAAAACCAAAAATCCCACAACATTAGGAAGTTCCACATGTAAATGTTAATGAAAAACATAGAAGAGTTGAATCTCGTGGTAAGTTTTACCTTTAGAGCAAGGGTTGAAACAAGGGAAACTATCAGATTCTCAACATGGGATTTGTGTTCCTTTGTTTTTTTGTGAAGGGTTTGGTCTTTGCTTTGGAATTCCAAACTTTCAGCTCTCTGTTTCTGTGTTGAGTCTTTACTGTGTGTCAGGCACTGGACTAAGGAACGTTCAAGAATCTTACATTCAGGCCCAGTGTGGTGGCTCATGCCTGTAATCTTAGCACCTTGGGAGACCAAGGCAGGTGGATCGCCTGAGGTCAGGAGTTCCAGACCAGCCTGGCTAACATGGTGAAACTCCATCTCTACTAAAAATGCAAGAATTAGTCAGGCATGCTGGTGGCCGCCTGTAATCCTAACGACTTGGGAGTTGAGTCAGGAGAATCACTTGAACCCGGAAGGCGGAGGTTGCAGTGAGTTGAGATGGCACCAGTACACTCCAGCCTGGGTGACAAAAGGGAGACTTCATCTCGAAAAAAAAACAACAACAAAAAAAAGTCTTACAGTCTGCTTTCCAAGAATTCACAATCTAGCTGGGACCAGGTGAAAATCGACTTCCAATCTGGTCTGGTGATGACAGAGGAACGATGTACAGACAGAACAGAAAATGGCGCGGCGGTGCACGACTGCTCTTGGAAGGTCAGAAGTGTCACTGAACACGAGGAATGGGGTCATGGCCTGGCTCCTGAAGAGTGGATACTCACTGTCCATGGAAACGTGGATTTTTACCTCCCTTGCAGTGGCTTCTTTCATTCTGTCGCCGACTTCCATCCGAAAAACTTGCCGTGACATCCAACTGTGGAAGAGGTCATGACACAGAGCTTTCTGTAACAAGTAGTCCCTGAACTGGGCCAGGCTAAACAAATACGCCGAGAAGGGTTTCTGGCCACAGTTGATAAAAGATGAGTGGAGAGTGGGAATGGTTGGTGCTATGTTTATTCCATACCTATTGGATGTTCTCTAAATTTTTGTCCCTTTTTACTATGCCATGTAGGTGGAGTTTTCAAGTCATGTCCCATAACTTGGATCTTTGGATTCTCAACTCAGTAGCCCCTTGGTGTGACGACTCTTCCACAATACCTTATTGTAATGTGGAAATAAAGTTTGGAAATGACATGCACAAATATATATTTAATTCCATATAGCTTTACTATACTGCAAAGAAAATATAACTGTGAAACAAAATAGCGTGTGTTGCAACATGTAAATGTTCAAGTCGGGCTACAGGAAAGATGTGTCCATGGATAATCACCTTGAAGGCACCCTCAGAAAATGCACACCGTTGCCAGGTGTGTGGTATTGTGGACTCCAGTACCACCAACACTGAGTGATGCTTCACTTGTAGTAGTCTGTTCTCCCACTGCTAATAAAGACATACCTGAGACTGGGTAATTTATAAAGGAAAGAGGTTTAATGGACTCACAGATGCACATGGCTGGGGAGGCCTCACAAACATGGTGGAAGATGAAGGCAGAGCAAAGGGATGTCTTTCATGTCAGCAGCAAGAGAGCTTGTGCAGGGAATCTCCCATTTATAAAACCATCAGCTGGCCGGGCACGGTGACTCACACCTGTAATCCCAGCACTTTGAAAGGCTGGGGCAGGCAGAGCACCAGAGGTTGGGAATTCGAGACCAGCCTGACCAACATGGAGAAACGCCATATCTACAAAAAATACAAAATTAGTCAGGCATGGTGGCACATGCCTGTAATTCCAGCTACTCGGGAGACTCCCTTGACACCGGAAGGCAGAGGTTACCGTGAGCCAACATTGTGCCACTGCATTCCAGCCTGGGCAACAAGAGTGAAACTCCGTCTAAAAAAAAAGACAGGAACCATGATATCTCATGAGACTTACTACCACAAGAACAGTATAGGGAACTGCCCCATATCACTCACCCTCCAAGAATCACACACATTCTGAAAGTGTATTCATTCATTCTTCATGTACGTAGTTGTTGCACTACCCACGTGGAAATGCAGGGCTCAGATCGTTATCCACAGGCTTTTCATCAGCATGAGTGTCCGGGGCGGCAGTCTTTATTGAGTAAGCCTTCATCTGCATTGCAAGATGTCTACCATCCCTGCTGCCATCGCCAGCCATCCTGTGACAAGCAGAAAAAGGCCCTCATACGTTTTCAGAATTCCTGCTAAGTTCCACTACCTTAAACAACTACGCTTGGAAGTCGGGCTCTTCGTGTGGTTTGGGTACCTGAAAACAGACAGCCAACAGTTCATTTCAAGGTCTCATTTCTGCATCCTTGATGATATTTCTCGCCATCAGATTTGTTGATGACTTTAGACTAGCAGTGCCATTTAACACTAGAAATTGGATGTCACTGACTGAGTCCTGTGGAAGGGATATTTAATTTCCATTAAAATATGAATTTCACCTGCCCTTCCGATGCTTTTCTTGGTCTTAGCCCAACCGGAGCTGCTGCTACTAAGGAACGATAGGATTGTTCCATAATTTTCATTTTACCTTTTCCTTTTTTTTTTTTTTTTTTTTTTTGAGACGGAGTTTCGCTATTGTTACCCAGGCCGGAGTGCAATGGCGCGATCTCGGCTCACCGCAACCTCCGCCTCCTGGGTTCAGGCAATTCTCCTGCCTCAGCCTCCTGAGTAGCTGGGATTACAGGCACGCGCCACCATGCCCAGCTAATTTTTTGTATCTTTAGTAGAGACGGGGTTTCACCATGTTGACCAGGATTGGTCTCGATCTCTTGACCTCATGATCCACCCGCCTCGGCCTCCCAAAGTGCTGGGATTACAGGCTTGAGCCACCGCGCCCGGCTACCTTTTCCTTTTTTTTTTTCCTTATGACCCTGCGCCCAGAATGAACTTAGAGAAGCAGAATACGAGGGCTACTTTGACAAAGATAAGACCATTGAGAAAATTCCTTTTGTTTGGTGTGATCTATTTTCTAAGGGCAGTCACTTACATTGTTGTTATTTAAGAGAAAGAGAGACAAAGGAAAAGAAGCAAACAGCTGGTGTTTAACGACTCCGTCAGACCCAATTATAAAACATCAACTAGTTACTTTGATTTGTGTACTATCCATGCCCTGGGTATACTTAAAAACCCTAGACTGTGCCAGAACTCATCTTGGCTTTGTTGACATTTATCTTTTAAACGTAGAAGACTATTGATGGCACCTCACCAAGGTTATAACCCCTTTATAATCATTAATTTTTAATCTGGAAAAGGGTCTTGGAGGCAACAAGACTCATCTATATTTTCTTGGATGCTCAAATGAAAATATACAGGACTCAAGCATTAGCTAAAATAATCCAGGAAAGCCCCGTCAGAGGTTAGGAATGTGATATCTTTCTGTTTCTAAAAGCAGCAGCCCTTTATTTAAGATGCTTTTCCATTTAATTTAATTATCTTTGAACTTCCTGTTGAAGGTTTTGAAAAATAGATGTTAGAGGGCAGGGAACGAGTTTAGTGTGTTAAGAGTGCTCCATTTATGGGTGTGGGTCTTTATTGAAATCTGTCTTTGGAGGCAATGCTTTTTTTAAAAAAAATTTAAATTTCAATTCTTACTTTTAGAGATGGGGGTTTCTGTTGCCCAGGCTGGAGTGTAGTGAGACAATCATAGCTCACTGCAACTTCGACCACCCAGGCTGAAGCAGTTCTTCCCCTCCCCCGCTCAAGTAGTTGAGACCACAGGCACATCCCACCAGACCCAACTAATTGCTTATTTTTTGTAGAGATGGTGACTCCCTCTGTTGCCTAGATTGGTCTTGAACTCCTGTGTTCAAACAACCCTTTCTCCTCAGCTTCCTAAGTGCTGAGATTGCAACCATGAGGCACATTACATGACCTGTATTTATTTATTTATTGAGACGGAGTTTCGCTCTTGTTGCCCGGGCTGGAGTGCAATGGCGCGATCTCGGCTCACCAGCAACCTCCGCCTCCTGGGTTCAGGCAATTCTCCTGCCTCAGCCTCCTGAGTAGCTGGGATTACAGGCACACGCCACCATGCCCAGCTAATTTTTTGTATTTTTAGTAGAGATGGGGTTTCACCATGTTGACCAGGATGGTCTCGATCTCTTGACCTCATGATCCACCCGCCTCGGCCTCCCAAAGTGCTGGGATTACAGGCTTGAGCCACTGCGCCTGGCCCACATGACCTGTATTTATATTGCTGAATCACCATTGTCAATCTTGAAGGGAGACTTTGTTTTGATGATGCAAGATTGAGGTTTTAGTCATCTCTACGTAGTTTCCTCAGATTCCTGTTTTTTTTTTTTTTTTTTTTGGGAGATGGAGCCTAATTCTGGCGTCCAGGCTGGAGTGCACTGGTGCGCTCTCAGCTCAATGCAACCTCTGCCTCCCAGGTTCGAGCAATTTCTGCCCCACCATCCCATACAACTGGGATTACAGGCATGCCACCACACCCGGCTGACTTTTGTATTTTTACTACAGAAGGCGTTTTGCCATGTTGGCCAGGCTGGTCTCAGTCTTATGACCTCAGGTGATCTACCCTTCTCGGTGTCCCAAAGTGCCAGGATTACAGGTGTGAGCCACCCCACCCAGCCTCCCTCAGATTTCTAATAAAAATAAAAAGGTGGCCCCGTGCGGAGGCTCACGCTTGTAATCCCAGCACTTTGGGAGGCCAAGGAGGTAGGATCACGAGGTCGAGAGATCGAGACCATCCTGGCCAACGTGGTCATACCTCTTCTCTACTAAAAATAAAAAAATTAGCCGGGCGTCGTGGTATACACCTACAGTCCCAGCTATTTGGGAGGCTGAGGCAGGAGAATCGCTTGAACCCAGGAGGCGGAGGTTGCTGTGAGCCGAGATCGTGCCACTGCACTCCAGCCTGGCAACAGAGCGAGACTCCGTCTCAAAAAGTAAAATGCATAAATAAATAAAAATAAACAGCTGTATGGAACGTCAGAACGTGGTCGTTCCATGTCGTATTTCCTGTTTTTAAGATTTACAGATATTAACGATTCCCTGGGAACACTGGACTTCAGTCGCCTCTCTCCATCAAAAAGCGACTACTGGGCCATGCTGGCTTACAACAGGTCCAAGCTCTGCAACATTCTCTTCTCCAACGAGCTGCACCGACGCCTCTCCCCACGCGGGGTCACCTCGAACGCAGTTCATCCTGGGAACATGATGTACTCCAACATCCATCGCGGCTGGTGGGTGTACACGCTGCTGTTTACCTTGGCCAGGCCCTTCACCAAGTCCATGGTAAGAGAACAGCTTCTGGCGCCGCAAACACCTTGGGTCCTAGAGAAACCTGCACACGTGTGTCTCCACCTTTTCCAGTTCTTGCAGGGATGAGTCTGGTCTCGATCATCGCATTGTCCAGCCCATCGTAGAGGGTTCTTGAACACATTCACGTCAACGTTAGATTAAATCTGTCCTTATAAATGCGTCTCGGAGGGCTGGGTGGAAGATGTGGTTTCTCAATATCATGTTAAGTATGGCTGAAAGTGCTATGGAAATAATCATGTGGGTTTTTTGGATGATTTGGTCTTTTATTCGGAAACTTTGAAAATCTCTTTTGTTGAGTGCAGCACTTGAAAACTGCTGTTTTGTGTCAGTAGGTGAACGGCATACATTTGTGATGACTGAAGTTTCAGCAGATGTGATTCCTTTGTTTCATAGGTAATCCGTAATCCGTATCTGATGTTCTAAATCCTTCTAATCGGTGTAAAGCTCTCTTGGAGAATCCTTTGATGGCTAGGAGTGGGTTTTCTTCTTTATTTTCCCAAAGATGAATTATTTTGGATGAAGCGCTTACCGTGGTTACATTTGGAAGTGTTTACAAGGGTGATACGACGTTTTTATGTTTTTGATGGTTATCAACCATATGAAGAAATTTCTGTGAACCTGTGGTAGTAGGAAGTCATTTGAATGAAAAAAGCGCACTGTACACAATATATTTGATAGATTATTTTTCAAAACCAAGGGACTTCAAAAATATCTTTGGATACCAGTATTCCAGTTACCCAAACTTAAAATCTACTCTACATTAATCATCCTTTTCCCAAACACATTTGGCCTTTAGAAACATCACAGGCTTGTAGAGTTAGACCTTGGATATTAATAAAACAAAGCAAAACAACAAAAAATGAAGTGTCACAGGCCTGACTGTTAGTCTTCAGCTAATCTTACAACCTTGGAAACTGTCTGCTGCTTTCTCTTCCACTCATTCCCACCTGCCATCTTTAACCTTCACGTTTGGTGATGACTTTTAAAACCACATCAAAAGTCGTTTGAACTGCTTAGGACCAAATAAGTAAGTACGTCTTTTATTCTGATCACCCAAGTGGTTTTTATGCTAAGTAAACAGACGTATTCCAAGAACTGAATACTTAAGATCCGTTCCAGTGAAAGGATCTATGGAGAAAGGTTCTCCATGCCGCAGGGTGGGATTGATCTCTGGGAAGTAAATGAATGAAACTTACCTGCAGTTGGATCACAGAGCTTTGAAATTTCCCTATCACTTTGCTCTCGATGATTGCATAAGCACAGACTCTTCTTGAAGGTTTCTTTGCCTGTGTTTATGCCTCCTACCCTGTTCTGTCCTTCAAATGCATTGCCATAAAAGAAGAAATACGGATCTGAAGTGGGTGCCAGTGCCATTTAAATGAGGAGTTTAGGAGAGGAGAGAGGCGGATTCTTCCTGATTTTCCGCTGGCCCAGTGCCTGCCTTCCACATTAACAAGCCCAGTCATCAACCATGATTTGTAATCTTTGCGTCTTGAGTCATCTCACTTGCATTGGATCACTGATGGGTTCTAAGGAACGCCTTTCTATGGCATCAGACAGTTTTTCTCCTTCTTCCATAAGGTCCCTCGTCAGAGAACATGATGGGAAAGATGTGGAGATGGATCTGGGACTGTATGGAAGTCGGTGAAGGGCGATGTAACTATCCTGCCTTTTGTCATAGACTCTAATGGATGAGGACTTGTCAGAAAAGAGTGGAAACTGTTATTCTGTCGCTTCATCCCCTTGCTTAGAGATTCTGGGCCAGGGCAGGAGGGAAAAGAAGGAAGACAAGTTCTGCTAAAATAAAGGCAGGGTAAATATTTTTATTTATTGGAGAAGAGTTGACTGTTAACTAATGTTGAATATAATATACTTCATCAAGTCAGACTTGAATGTTGGCTAATTGGACCTAACTGGAGTATTTCTCAAAAGTACCAGCAAACTAAGTTGGGTAGGTGACTGTATCATATCAGAGTGTTGCTGTTTCGGGGTTAAGTGTCTTCAGGACTTGGGCCAAGTGGATAACCAGAATGTGGGGTTAGAAATGGAAGCAGAAACGTGACCGTGTGGGTGAGGTCAAAAGATCGAGACCATCCTGGCTAACATGGTGAAACTTCGTTTCTACTATGAATTAGTCTCTACAATGAATTAGGTGAAGGTTTCCTCGCAGTGAGCACCATACCCGGAGCGTGTCCCAGTAATGCCAGTTGCCCAGCCTCCGTGCCTGACTCCTTTGCCTACCTCACCCATGAGCAGAAGCCTCTGCTGCACCCTACCGCAGTCTCTCCTGTCCGCCTGGTAGGAGAGCTCAGAGACCACTTATGAACGGGCCTCAGCGCCTATAGCAAGGCAAGGCTTGGGGGAAACAAATGTCCTCTGGGAGCATCCTTGGGTAAGAGATGAAGTGAGCACTGCGCTTTATGGCCCTGGGTGAGACAGGTGTGGGAAGATGAGTGGATAGCTCGTGAGAGTGTTTGGAAAAAAGCGATGGCTCAAAAATTCCAGGTTTTTTTGAAAGTGTCTGGGGAGGAGCACTCACAGAAAGGGCAGGGGACGTTAGCATTTCCCTTGTACTTGAAATGGGATTTGACCTGGCTTCCTGGTGGTGGCAAGAGAAGAAAGTGGCCTGGCATAGTGGACCTCACAGCTGTCCTGCTAATGTTGCTGACGGAGAGGCTCAGCTCTGACACTTGATCACTGAAATAACTTAGGTCACCAGCCTTCTGAGCCTGTCTCCTTACGACGGCAGTTGCGATACAGGTTGGTGTAAGGACTGACGATAATGCATATCACATCGATAATGATGGGTATAGAATTTCTGCAGTGATGATAATCTGGCTCTCCAGGATGGCAGCTATGGGCCACATGTGGATATTGAGTGCTAAAAACGTGGCTGATATGGGGAAGTGAAGTTTTGATTTGATTTCATTTTAGTTAAGTGGAATTGAAAAACACCACGTGTGCTGAGCAGCTGTCATGTCGGAGAGCACCGTCAAATGCTCTGCCCAGCACAGTGCCTGTCCCATAGGACAGGTGCGTAGCACGCACTTCTTGCCACGACGTCTGTGACTCTTCTTGCTGTGAGCAGTACCTTGGTCCTGGTGATTATTCTCCAAAATGCAATCTCTGCTGATGGAACAAGAATCTGTAAATTGGGAGCTGGAAGGGGAAGGGAAGGGCTTTACCCCTGGCCCCAAAGACTCGGGGAGAGGCTTACTGGCCAAATAGGAAGTGAGTCCAGCTGGAGAGAGCCTGATTCAGCGATCTCCAACCTGCACGTCTTACTTGTGAGGAAGCCATAGTGGCGTGGACTTTTCTTGTTTTTGACCTTCAGTGATTGGAAAGTAGCAACTTCTGCTGGGTGTGATGGCTCACGCCTGTAATCCCAGCACTTTGGAAGGCTGAGGCGGGTGGATCACGAGGTCAGGAGTTCAAGACCAGCCTGGCCAAGATGGTGAAACCCTGTCTCTACTAAAAATAAAAAAATTAGTCAGGCGTGATGTTGAGCACCTGGAATCCCAGCTACTCAGGAGGCTGAGGCAGGAGAATTGCTTGAACCCGGGAGGCGGAGGTTGCAGTGAGCTGAGATCACACTGTTGCGCTCCAGCCTAGGCAACTGAGCAAGTCTCTGTCTCAGAAAATAAAACAACAAGAAAATGGCAACTTTTATTTGCCATAAGTGGACTTTAGATAAGCATGAAGATTATGAAGACTATGAAATATGTAGCTAAGTTGAGAGTCTTACTAAAATCCCCTCTAATATATTTAAGTATTTAAGCCTTTGGTAGTCTTTTTAGCCATCAGGGTTCTATAGATCAGGTTGGTGCAAAAGTTACTGTGGTTTTTGCCATTGAAATTACTCCCTCACTTCATGCAGAGGTGGAGTGGGCATTCTGAGCTTACTTGTCAAACTCACAGGCATTCACTTTTCTTTCATAAACATTTGATTCTGCATTTAGGAGAGGGATCCCCATGAAGGTAGACCTGGGCTTGGTCATTTTCCTACTAATATAGACTGGATTGACTGGAAAAATTACCCTCTTGGACTGTCCTGTGTGTGTGGCCTGGCGTTGCTTCCATCGGGATACAGCGTCTGTTTCTGGGACAAAGGGTATACTTCTGCCATTTTAATAGACATATGATGGGACACAGCACGTAGTTGCATCCCATTTCTTCCCCAGGTAAAGCTTTGGTTTCTAAATGCTAATCGAGAAGCTTAGCTGAGATGCAGTCTCCCTATCACCAGATGGCTAGCGTGCTCCGCTTTGTCTGCCTTGCACCTTGGAGAGGGTGTTTCCTTCTGACATGAGTATTGCTGGATACACATTCCATTGCGTGAGGTCAAGGGAGCAAGAAATACAACCCAGCCTTGCGCTCGGAAGCCCTGCCTTCGTTTCTCCACTGTAGTCGGCTCCCTTATGTATTTAACAGCAGTATTCTAATATCAACGTCCCTTTTTTATTTGCTGTGACTTGCTGTGACTACGGTGATTTTAGTTACAGTAATTAGGTCACCCTTCATGGAGTCAGGCTATTTTAAGTGCCTCTTTAAGGAATATTGTTGCAGATCAGTAATTTTACAATTGGATGTTCTTGTGCAACTTTATTAAACGTAATCTGTCTTTTAAATGTTGCCCTTTTACAGTTATACATTTCTAATTGTTGCTGTAAATGCATTATCGCTCTGAAATTAATTAATTTTTCCATTTTGGCCGCCTGCAGTATAATAATCACTAATGAGAAACTCATTGGAATCAATTCTCAGCACAGCGGCCCCTACTGGTAATGCCGTGTCTCTGCCACGCTTTTCCTCGTGAGATCCAGAGAACTGGACAAGTGTATTGGGTGAATCCTGGGGGAGAAGGGTTTGTTCCCTCCTCCCTCCAACGTATGGTAAAATAAAAATGATAAACATGGAAACTGAGTTATTTTTAAATGTCATTCAAAAAAAAAAAGATGCATGATTCTTCAAAC